ATAAGTTTAGCGAAGCCACGTGATGGCATCTGTTGCCTGCACCCACTAAACCCACCAGGAATTAAAACAAACTGTGTTTTAGTAACCTGTGCCTCCTTCCCCAAACGCTCCACAAAGCGTATCTGGTGTCATACATTCACAGAAGCGGCCAATCTCCCCACTACACCTCGCTGGCAAATTGGTCGAATGCTACCGTACCCATTTCTGCTGCCCGTGTCCCAACCAGCTTACTAAAACGCACAGCTGGATCGGCGCTGAACCCAAGTGCTGCAAACTAGAACTGCGAACCGAAACCCCCTCAACCGACAAAAACCAATCGAGCGAGAGTTCAAGTTTCAAGCACGCGAGGGGCTTATCGAGGTCCGCAGCAGGGGTAAAAAAACAACCCTCATTTTTTAAGTGAAAGCAGTAGCAACTCCAAGCACCCAAAAAAAGCTCTAGGGGTTATAAAAAAAACCCTCATTTTTTTTAAATGAAAGCATTGGCATGTCCAAGTGGTGGAAGAGGCTCCCACAAACACGCCATGCTTTTACAAGCCTGGTCCTGGCTTTGCAGCGGCCTCACCTGGGGAAGTTAGGGGGCGAGTTTCGCGCGGGGGGCCCCCTCCCCAAAGTGCAGCGAGGCAACCTCCATCTTGGACAATACTTGGGCAGGGGGATGGAGGGGAGGGGAGGGAAGGGGCCGGAGCCGGGAGAGGATGCTCCGCCCGCACCTGTGCCCTGCCTCCAGCCCCCGCGATTTGCATGTCTCCCCCCGGGCGGGCGGCGAGGAGCGGGACCCTCCCTCGTCCCCGTCCCCGCTACCTGGGGTGCTGCTGTAGGTGCTGTGGCTCCTGAAGCTGCTCTCGGTGCAGTAGCTGGCGTCGTCCTCATCCTCCATCTCCTCGGGGTAGTCGGAGTCGTCGTCGTCCTCGTCCTCCTCCTCCTCCATGATCTCCTCCTCGTCGCCGTCGTCCTCGGACCCCGGGTGCTCCTCGGGGTCGCCCTCCTCCTCGTCCTCCTCGGACCCCGCGCTCTCCTCCTCCTCCTCCTCGCTCTCGTGGTCATCGTACACCACTTTGCTGGCGCTCCTGCGGGACGAGGCAGCCCGGCCTCCGCCG